GATCTAGTTGGAGATGTCCCTGCTTATGGTGGGGGGGTTGGACTAGATGACCTTTAGAGGTCCTTTCCAGCCCAGACATTCTATGATTCTTTGCATCAGTCTTTAACAGTTGGTACAGTTATACTCAGTATTCAGACCCCTGAGCTGGAAGAAAGGGATGGAGATCAGAATGATCCCCTCATAATCCAGAAAATAGCAGTGAAGGACCCGCTAAGGCAATTGGACACCCATAAGTACATGGGCTGGGATGAGATCCACCTGAGAGTGCTGGCGGAGGAACTTGCCAAGCCTCTCTCCATCATTTACCAGCAGTCCTGGTTAACAGGGGAGGTCCTGGAAGGCTGGAGATTTGCCAATATGATGCCCCCATCTACAAGAAGGGCAGGGAGGAGGATCCGGGGAACTACAGGCCTGTCAGCCTGACCTCAGTGCCGGGGAAGATTATGGAACGGTTCATCTTGGAGGTGATCATGTGGCAAGTGCGGGAAAACAGGGGGATTGGGTCCAGCCAACGTGGGTTCATGAAGGGCAAGCTGACTGAACATAAGCCAGCAATGTTCCCAGGTGGCCAAGAAGGCCAATGTCATCCTGGCCTGTATCAGAAATGGTGTGACCAGCAGGAGCAGGAAGGTGATCATGGGAGACCGCACCTTGAGTACTGTGTCCAGTTTTGGGCACCACAGTATAAGAAGGACATGGAGGTGCTGGAGCGGGTCCAGAGAAGGGCAACGAGGTTGGTGAGAGAGCTGGAAAACATGCCTTGTGGGGACTGGCAGAGGGAGCTGGGGTGGTTTGGTCTAGAGAAGAGGAGACTGAGAGGTGACCTTATTGTTCTCTTCTACTACCTAAAAGGAGGTTGTAGTGAGGCTGGTGTTGGTCTCTTCTCCCAAATGACTGATGATAGGATGAAAGGAAATGGCTTCAAGTTGTGCCAGGGGAGGTTTTGATTGGATATTAGGAAGAATTTCTTCACTTAGAGAGTGGTTAGGTATTGGAATGGGCTGCCCAGTGAGGTGGTGGAGTCATCATCCCTGGAGATGTTTAAAAAAAAAGTACATTTAGCACTTGAGGCTATGGTCTAGTGGTTAGGGAAATGTTGGGATGAAGGTTTGACTTGATGATCCTATAGGTCCTTTCCAACCATAGTGATTCTAGGATTCTATAAGCAATAATCAACTATCCTTGTTACATATGTGCTTAATCAATCCCTTATATCACTTAGCTAAGCTTTCAGAATTTCAGTGCACTCATTCCCAGTTCACTTACTATCTGACGCAATAAGAATTCTCTCAACCCCAAGGAGTAACCTTGAGAGGCATCTCCTCTTGCAGGGAGATCCTGGCATGCAGCCTGCTGCCATACAGGATATATCAGTGGGCCCTGGGCTGTCCACTATTTATGGAGTAAAGATAATTGACTTATAGTTATCTTTACATACTGACTACAGATATTAGCTTCTTCCAATTTGAGTTTCACATTGGCCAGTACTGTGGTTAGGTGGATGCATTGTTCACAGTAGCCCTTGGCTATTGTGTTATGTTTCCCCTGACCACATGAAAAGATGCATCCATTACAATCGTTACTGGTGGTTATCTCTTGAACAGGGTTATGGGATATACAGGTCAGGTTGGGGCAAGGGAGCACACCACCATGTAGACCAGTAGTGTGTGTTAATCATGTCAGAAGAACTCTGTAAACTTGAAATGACAAGAGGCAAACCAACATTTCATTCATTATATTTCTGAACTAGAAAAAAGTAAATCCAGACTTACAAGTAGAAGTAAAGCCTAGTATTCGAGCAAGAAAAATTCAAGAAGAGAAGATGAGGAAGCAGTTGCAAAAAGAAGAATACTGGAGAAGGCGAGAAGAGGAAGAACGCTGGAGGATGGAAATGAGGTAATGCATTCTGTTTTATCAATGAATGAGACAAAGTTGCAATTAGATTTAGCTAAAAACACCTCTGCTTTTTTAGTTACTTAATTTGAATACTTGTTTTGGGAATTCTGTACTGTCTTGTTTTAAATTAAGGTGTCATTATCTCTGTGGTTTTATTTGGTTTTGTTTTAGTGCTCAGTCTTCTAAGGAATGTAGACTTACTAGAATTATTTGCTATAAACTCAGGCTCATTTTCAGAATAACCATTAATTTTGGCTACCCTCTAGAGTTCACTGGTATTTGCTCATGATTACTAGAAATGAGTTAGTGAGGGCATCCAAGAATTTATTTAGAAAGGTTGGAAGTATTAACTGCTATATAAAGAGAATGCTTTGATGCACTTCAGACGATATGAAGAGGACATTTACTGGAGGAGAATGGAGGAAGAGCAGCATCACTGGGATGACCGTCGCAGAATACCAGATGGAGGATATTCTCATGGTCCTCCGGGAACTCTAGGCATGCTGGGAGTTAGACCAGGAATATCTCCTCAGCCCCAAGGACCAGCTGTGAGTTTCTTAACTGGGGGGGGGAGGGAAAAAACAAAAAAACCCAAACAAATAAAACCCAACAACTTACCAGGAGGCACAGTTAAGAACTGTAAATTTAGTGCTACTTCAGTTGTCTCCAGTGTTCCTTAATTAAGGATTTGGAAAAGTGAAGAATTCATTATATACTAATGAAACTGTATAGATGGACTTGTCTTCCAAAATAAGGTCACTTATATGACAAAAGGATGCCTTGAAGACAAATATTGTTTGTTCTGAAATACAAGTCGCTCTGGATTTGTGTACTACTTCTTATTTAATTGCATTGTACTTTATCTAATTGTGGACAAATGTATAGATAAAAAGTGGTTGGATAGTCAGTCTCAGAGGATGATGGTCAGTGGTGGGTTGTATTTTATCTGGAGGTCAGTAACAAGTATAGTACCACATGGGTTTATCCTGTCATTTGTCTCATTAGCACTTTATCAATGATCTGAAAGGTGATGGAGTTAAGTGCACACTCGTCAGGTTTGCAGATGATGTGAAACTGAATCTGTTTGGGGTGGGGAGAACAGTTGATACCCTTGACAGCAGGGCTGCCATCCAGAAGGACATAGGCAGAATAGAAGGATGAACCAACAGGAACTTGATGGAATTCTGCAAGGGCAGGTGCCTAATGATTCACTTAGGAAAGTATAACCCTTTGCACTGAGGGGCTGGGGAGTGACAGACTGGGTAGGACCCCTGCTGAAAGGGACTTGTGGTTCTTGGCAGATAGCAAGCTGAACATGAGCCAATCGTGTGCCCTGGCAGCAAGGAAGGCCAACAGCATCCTGGGTGATATTAACAGGAACATAATCGGTAGATATAGGGAAATTATCAGCTTTGATTAAACCTGAACTGCAATACTGCATTCCGTTTGGGGCTTTCCAAGACAAGAAAGATACTGATAAACCATAGCAGGTTCAGTGTGGGGCTACTGGGATGGTCAGAGGTCTGGAGTGAGTGCCCTGCGAGGGATCTGGGCTTGTTCAGCCTGGAGAAAAGATAGCCTTCTAATACCTGTGCATTACAAAGACAGTGGAGCCAGCTGGGCCCTTTACAGTTGTCAGGGGACGAGATACAACCAGCTTAAGCTGAGACAAAAGAGGTTCAGACTGAATACAGGAATTGGATTTATTTTTTTTTCATCCCACTCCTCCCCCCCATGTTGTGCAGCTTCCATCTTTGGTGTTTTTCAAGAACTGACTAGATAAAGCCCTGAGCAACACGATATGGTCCTATAGCTGGCCATGGCTTGCACAGTAGGTTGGACTTAGAGGACCTCCTGGAGTTCCTTCCTATTTGAATTCTTCTGTGATTCTGTGAGAGCAATTATGGGTACTTTATTTTGCATCGGTATGCAAGTATTTCTCAGTTAATGGAAAGACAATAGATATTTATGTTGGGGAGTTACTTTTGATCCTGGGACTTGATATGAAATGTATCAAAAATTAATTACTTTTTCAGACATGATTGGTTGTGACCAGTGTAAGTTAAGGACATTTCAGTTCATGTTTTGCTACATTTCAATATTTTGAGGTTTGGATATTCTGTTTAGCCACGTGTTTGATATTTGGTCATATATAATCTGTGAACTTGGAAGTGTACACAAAATTCAGAAATGTGCTTTTTCATCTGTTTAGCCTCTACGTCGACCTGACTCCTCTGATGACCGGTATGTGATGACCAAACATGCAGCTATATATCCAACAGAGGAAGAACTTCAAGCAGTTCAAAAAATTGTTTCTATTACTGAGCGTGCTTTGAAACTTGTTTCTGACAATATGACTGACCATGAAAAAAGCAAGAACAAAGAGGGAGATGACAAAAAAGATGGCAGTAAAGACAGGTATTTATTTTCTTTTAAAGGATTCTGTTTTCTTTATGTTTTCATATGTCACATGTCACTATGACCTCGAGTATATAGAATGCTCCTATTTAATTTCATTTTTCTCTCTTCAGGATTAGTTTTGGGCTTTATATTATTTTAAATGCAACTTTTAACTATAATTCACAGAACTTTGAAAGGAGTTTTACGGGTAGGCGTTTTGGCTAAAGGTTTGCTACTCCGTGGAGACCGAAATGTCAGTCTTGTTTTGTTATGTGCTGAGAAGCCTTCAAAGATGTTACTCAGTTGTATTGCTGAAAGTCTTCCCAAACAACTTGCAGTAAGTAGTGTTTAGATTTTTGGATTTGTATTTCTTTAAAGGTACTGCAAAAATTTGTCCTCAAGTCAAATGTCTGCAAGGCAAACTGTGCTGCATTTCATAGTTCAGGTTCAGTTTCTTTTCATTTTATGAGTGTCTCTGAATTCAAGGACTATGCTGCATGTTTTGGTCTCTCTATATTGTGTCCATACAAGTGTCTAGATGTTTATGCTAGTGGTGTAGTATCAATCATCATTTAATACATTTTATTTAACTGATAAATAGAAATGAGCAGAAGAAAGGCTATTATTGATTTACCAGCAGTGACAGAGTTAACTTGTGCAGTGTTACAGGAAGCTTGTGTTGCCTGAAGGTCAAAGTTCTCCATTGATGCCAGTCTGTACTTGTGTCTTATTTCCAATTTGCATGGGTCAGTGCTTTGTAGTCCCACGATTAGTTAAATCTTGTGTGTGTGGGGTTTGGTTTTGGTAATTAACCTCACCAACAAAAAATGATAAAGAACCCTGAAACCCACAAAAAAAAAAGTTGTAAGAAGCAGTTCTGAATAACCACCTTGTTGCTATTAAATCCCTATTAAAACCCTCCGGTGTTTATCTTGACTTTTGCTCTTCTCGGAGGATGTTGTAACAGCAAAGTATAGAATGTGCCTAGCAGTACCCATCCTGTAAACTGCAAGCTTGAAGAAGCACCACTGCATCTTTGTGCTTTTTAAAAGCTCCTATGTTCCAATGAGAAACATATCCAACTGGCACTTAAAGAAAAGCCTCATTGCCATTTAATATCAAACACTGTCAAGTTTCTTTTTATGCAATTTACTTAGTATATGAATTTCCTTTATGAATAGTTTTTTTGTTTTGCATACTGCTGTGTATTTTAATTTATGATTTGGAAACAGCCTTATTAATAATAAGACAGAAACATAATTATATGAAGCGGATGCCTCTGTATTCAAAGAGACAATAGCATACACAATTAAGATAGATTGTGTGTGTGTATATATGGGCTTGCATACTATGTCAAAATGAGTTATTCTTCCCCATGCTTTTCTTGGCCATATGTTGATAGAAATCTGTTTCTTAATATTTAGGTAATAAGTCCTGAGAAATATGATATCAAGTGTGCAGTCCCAGAAGCAGCAATAATTTTAAATTCATGTGTGGAACCCAAAATGCAAGTTACTATCACACTGACATCTCCAGTCATTCGGGAGGAGAACATGAAAGATGGAGGTTGGGAAGTTGTTAAAGATGTTACTTCTTTCTCACCTATTTTTGTTAATTCTGTTTAAGATGGCATTAAGGTCCTAGAAGGCAACATGCTGGCACAACTAATGTATTTGATCAAAACCTGTTTTTTTCAAAAACCAACCTCTGTAGAGAACAGTTGGTTTAAATAAATGCCAATGCAATGCATTTAACTTTTAAAAATTCTAACTTTATGTCCAACCTCAGCTTTCTGGAAAAGGTAAAATAATTGACTTTTTTTTCCCCCTCTTATAAAATTATGTGGAAAACAAAGTATTTTATAGCAAATGGCTATAAACTGGCTTTCTAGAGCAGTCTTGCTCTAAGAGAAAGATTGTATGGTTTCAGAAAAATCACAGGGTTTTGCCTTTAAAACTGGACCAGTATTACTATCACTTACACATTCCAAATAGCACTGCCACTTAAAATGCACTTTTAAAATACTTTTGATGTTAACAGTGCTTCTAACTTGAAAAGACGATGTGGATTTTTTTTTCCAGCTCTCTGAGGTTGCTTTTTGGTCTGGAGTGCTTTTTGAGTATATTTAGTCTCCTGGTAGTACAGTTGGTCTTCTATCCAACTGGCAGACCCAGACTAGTACAATAAGAAATGGTTTTGTTGTTGAGCTGAAGCAGAAGGTGGAGCTTGTAAATCAAATTACATTTCTGAAGTTCACGGTTTCTCTGGTGCCAGCAGTGTTGCTTTAGGGTCTGTTATGTAACACTTTCAAAGCTCTAAAAGCTTTTAAGCCAACAAGCATGATTGTTTGCACATTGTTTCTTTTTGTTTGTGGGTCAGATAAAATTAACTTTTGTTTCCTTTTAATCCTGTATTCTCCATAGTTGAAAGATAATGGCAAAGAGGGTTTTGGTGTTTGACAGTGAACCTACAGATAGCCTCGGATTTCCTATCTTAACACTTATACAATTTTTTTTCAGCTTGCATATATGTATACACGCACTTGTGTATATACATAATTAAGCCACAGAGGCTTTTTAATTTCATTTCAACAAGCGTCCTCTAAAACACTTGAGGCTTTTATATTGAATTAGTAAATGTTCTATAGCTATGACTAGGGCATTGTAAGCATGCTATTTTAACAAAGTCGTCCTACATAAACGGAAAAATTTCAAGATGCATTCTCTAGTTTGGATGACTTCTGAAGAGTCTTTGAGTGCTTTGTATGTGATTTTTAAGCTGTGCGCATTATTCCTAGCTATAAAGGCTTTGTACATATACTGTCACACCGAACCAGTTCTACTTTGTGTTTTGACAATCTTACAAAGTAAGAACAAGAGTTACAAAGTATAACTCTTGGTTTGTCTGTGCTGAATCAGGCTTCATATATTATTTAAATTCATAAAGAATGCTTGAACTTAAAACATTTGATTATTAAATTATGGTAACCATTAAATGAAATTAACATTAAACACCATTTTTATTTCTTAATGTACTGTGCACAAGTGCAATATTGACTCCTGCCACAATACTTAATTTCAATTTTCTGGCCTAAAAATCTGTGTTGTAAGCTAAGAGATTGATTGTAATAATTAAAAAATTATTTTCTTTTTAATTTCTGCCACCTAAAGGAAACATCTGTATTTTTGTCTGACCCACGTGAGTTAAAATTATCATTGTGAATATATTCACTGCTGAATGCAGTACTGCTCCTAGGCAAGCAAAATCAAATTGGATTTTTCTTCAAGACACTGAGCAGTATAAACCACATTTGCAGAAAAGTTAAATTTTGAAATGAGAGAAAATAGAAGACTGAGTTGCAAATTATTGCAGTAAAGAAGGCATTATGAAGACTGCTTATCTGCTGCAGAATAATAGTATGTGTTTGTGTTTTTTTCTTACTGCAGCTTCTCATGCTCTGTGTCTTACAATGGTTTAAAGTTGTTTTGGTTTGGTTTTTATTTTTAGTCTCCTCGGGGAGCTAGTTCAGGTGATAAGGAACACTTTACCAGAAGAACCAGTTTGAGTAAAGATGAGACTGAGACTTGTTTATAGAGTAGACTCATGTTTGATGTGTAATAATGCCATTACATGATAAAAGGCTAAAAAAAAAAAAGTGAAATAAAATTAACCGCATAGCTACTGTTCCTTACAGTATTGTGCATTTAACAGTTTACCAAATCATAGATTTAAAGTGCTCTAACCCCTGCTGTGGAATCTTTCCTTCAGCAAACTAAGTGTACATACTTAAACATGTATGTGTGCACATGTCCTTTTTTCATCCTTAGCTAACAGCCCTGGTCCAAAGCCGAGTAGCCGAGGGACTTGGCTCCTGTCAGGGGTTGCTGCCAAGACATCGGAAGGATTTTTGACCAAGGTTTTCTAAAGCTCGGTGTCACCCCTGCCATGCTTTACAAAGGAGGGGGTTTGGATGCATAGTCCTAGCATCTACTGTTACTCTGTTTTTTGTTGTTTTTTTTTTTCTTTTTGTCTTTCTCTCTCCTGGAATTAAGCAGCATCCACACTAATCTTGAAATAGTTGACTGGGTAAAATGTGTTTCACATAATAAAACCAAAATGGATATACCTGTTAACTTTTAATGAAGAGGTAGTGTGGACACAGCATGTCTAACTGAAGATTAACCCCTTATCTTTAGGCTAGTAATAAATTAAGTTATATAGGGTAAAAATTCATGCTTCTGCTCAGTGAATTAATTGCTTTTTTTGTCTTAGCCTAAAAAAGTGGTAGGTTAGGTATCTGAATTTATTTAAATAGTCTTTAAAGGGGTTAATCCTAAAATGTATAACAAATGGAAGAATCCACAGATTAACTATCACAAGAGTTTCCTTGATGCATTTCTTTTAGCCAACGTATTCTGAGTGCAATATGTGCTTTGCAAATTCTGACTCGGTCTTTTTAATTTTCAAGACTATTCATATTTTATATATATTAGTAGCACATTAGCCATGGTTTGGGGTCAGGGCTGCCCCCAAATGGATAAAATACACTCTCTGTTAATCCCTCTTCCCCCTCAAAAGGAAAAAGAAAGGGAATAAGGGAGAGACTTACCGATTAGAAAAGGAAAACAGCTTTAATACTACCCATAATAATACTAGTAATAGTGATAATAAAATGGAATATGTAGAAATATATACAAAACCAGTATTGAAGCCAACTCCCCCTCGATGGCAATATGTCACTCTCACCCCTGGCTGTGGAGCAGTCCTAGGCTGGACACAGACACAAATGGCAACTGGGTACAGGACCTGGATTCTGGAACTCAGTTCAGGAACACAGGACTCTGGATCAAAGGCAGAATGGATGAAGTCCTCCTCGGATTCCGGCCACTACAGAAGACACAGTAAAAGCCAGGAAGAAGGCGGAAGGGTGAAGCAGACAGTCTGCTAAAACATGCTGCTAACTTCAGACAGTGCAGTTAATTAGAAGAGCTTTAGCTGAAAAATTAAATCATTGAACAGAACCAACTCTTTTCTACCCCAAACCAGAACATTCCACCCCTTATTC